GAGTCATCTTCTAAATTACTTCCTGAGACTCGTATGTTTGCTTGTATTGGCAAACGTATCTAAGTAGACGGCGGCACACCTATCTATGATAAGAATTTTCTTAACACCAGTTTCCGCCTGGCCTTCAGCACGCTCACCAAGGAAGGTGCATCGAGACAGACAGTGCAGAACTTGCCGCCCTGCCGGCAACATAACTCGCAGAACGACCTCAACTTCTAGTCTCAAGCAGAGCCGAAGCGTCAGCAAAGAAAAGTGTATGCATTTGAGTCCGGCAAACGAACGGAGGATGGAAGCAGCCAGTCAGCCAAAATGCGCCGCGATCGAGTCTTCGATTACTTCATTCAAAACCCTTCATATAGATATTCCCCCGTGTGCAGAAAAGATTTACCTTGAGAAGTGAGTCATCGCTTGGGGCCATTTTTCTTCAACTTTGATCCAGAAGTAGCATGCTCTTTTGTAATACGGGTGCGAAGCGCCTTCATTGCGGACTGTTTTAACGAGCCCCTCAGTTATCAATATCAAACTTTGCTTTGAGACACCTCGCTGGTAAAATTTAATAACTACCGTCAATTAAAAGCTCCTTTCATTGAAAAGAACATCGGAAAAGCAGGTGGATGATGACACGGCTGTACTTGGTAATTTCTTTTTTTCCATTACTGACATTTTCAGTTGGCAAGTTTGTGTCTATTAAAAATCAATTCAGCGACGATACTCATGTAAGCATTCAGGAAGTTCATGCCTCATGATGAATTAATCGGTGGGCCGGTGTGCAAGCCCAACCAGTATCGCGGTAATGCATTCAGCCTCTTCTGAATCAGTCTTTCAGTGTGCCACATCATATCAAATATTAAGTTGGTTCTCTGTTTAGTCCCTCTCGGGACTCTGTCCAATGAATGCATAGCAGAGACCAACCTAGCCCACCTTGGTCTCGTAACACAGTAATGCAGCCCGTTTCGGGACCAATTGATATTATATTTACCCACTTTGATGGAAGCTATACATGATTTCCATCTTGTCCATGTCGTTTCAGTCGCGGGCTCCTGGCCTGCCCGGTCTTCACTTCGTCAAGACAGCCGTTCCTCTTAAGCATGCGCGATAATGCAGTATCGCGTATAGAGAATCTGCAGATTTGGCAACAGCAGCTGGTGGTGTTAGACCTTTCGCACAACGACATTGAGAGCATGAATGGAGTGGAAAGACTAAGCAACTTGCAGGCCCTATCCCTCAGCGCGAACTGCATTAAAGTTATGGCTGACATGAGAAGCCTCAGGAAACTCCAATTTTTAGACCTCAAACGCAACAAGATTTCACGCATTGAGGGTGTCGCTGAGCACCCAAGCTTGCGAGTTCTCTGTTTGTCAGAGAACCGACTCTCGCGTCTCAGCGGAGTGACCAACATGCCTCATCTAGTCGAACTTGACTTGCGAGAGAATCAGATTCAGATGCTTGACCCTCTCTACGGCATGGACCAACTGCGCCGTGTCTTCCTTAGCCATAACCGCATTGAGCGGTGAGTTATCATCCTATCTGCATTCCTCTTTTAATTTTACTTCTACTTTTTTGCCTGGACTTCGTGTCTGCTTCACGTTGGCAAATCATCTGCAGTTGCACTTTAGGATGTAATTGAATGTTTTAATGCTCATTTTAGACTACTGGAAGTCCTTTTGTGCAGCAAAACGAGTATAATTTTAAACGATCTTCGTTTGAAGTATACAATAGCTAGCCGGTTGTTTATCCGCCTACTGCTTTTTCGTGTCGGCTTAAATCCATGTAAAACAGGAGGACCTTGTAGTTTAGGTCTGAATTTAAATTTACCCTGTCATTATCCATTCATTAATTCTCTGGGGATTGCATCGGCTGCTGACTGTGGTGCCAATTTTAAAAGGAAAGTCGTATAGGCGATAGGTTTGGGCAACTTATTCAGTATCACTGTCAGTTTATTGAAGGAAAGATAGGCGAATAACTTTGAGCTCCCTATTGGTAAAAATGGTGGCTAAAGAATGCATGGATAAAAAAGAAAAAATGGAAAAAAATACTTGAATTATGTGCTTGCAAGCGAAGAGCGAAAAGCGGGTGGTGTCAAAAAAGTAATGAGATATGACCACCCACTTAGCACGAGTAGCCTAACTAGTGTGTATAATGAGTATATGTGATAAGTATGTGTAACACTCTCCGTCGTTTAATCTAGTTAAATTGTTTAATATTGCATGTACGGAAAGAAGCGGGTTGAAAGAAAAGCCTGTATACAAAACCCGCCTCATAAGACGGAAAAATCGTCTGATCAATCATCACCATTGCGCAAGCGCCCAGTGTCACAGTCGGTTCTGATGCCGGATGTGCTTCCGCATGACAATAGAGTATACTGCAGGCCACGTTCTACTCACAGTTAACAAAACATCTTAGTCGTATTTCCAGATCGCAAAGATGTAAAAGCTGGAAAGCTTATGTTATCTCCTTTAATGGAAAACTTTGTTGCAGAAAAGGTTTATGGAGGACCTATCGCAATGGGTTAAATAAATAGGTAGAATCCTTGCCGCAATGATCGTCAGATGCGGTTTCGCAGAGGAGGAGAAGAAACGAGACGTCAGATAGGAGGAATAGCGTATTCTGTACAGAAGTAGGGGAGAGCATGTGAGATGAAGTTGACTGTGGTGTGATTGCACGAGCAACCGCGAGGAGCTGCCTCCGAAGTGTGTGGGCAGGGCAATCGTAACAGCGTCTACAGAGTGGTCGTTGGGTGAATTAGCCTTAAAGGTAATTAGCCAGACGGACTAACTTCGTTCTGCAAGTGCATACATGCTAGCAGCCGAGAGAAGCAAGAGGTTGAGTGCTGGCGCAGTTTGAGGCACCTATGATTGGCTGTCCTAGAGGCGGACAAAGATTTGCAATCACGTGGCCTCAAGCGTGGCATGGGGTGGGAGGCAGAAGGCGGTGCAGGGTCACTACTGGCCTACTAGAAGAACTAAGAATTCGCTTCGGGATGTATCAGCTTATCATTCTATTTTAACATTTCACCCATCGCCTCTCCATCGGTTATATACCTGCAGGCGGCGCCTCAGACGCAATGCAAGTCTAGGGGATATTTACCATACTCATTTGGTTTCGTAGATGTCTGACGGCTCTGTACAACTTTGGCAAGAAAATAATATCGCAAAAATTCTCATCACAGAAACCCGAAGGGGAATTGGCGAGCATACGTATACTTTCAATAAATTCTCATCAGGCCATTACATTTGTATTGGAGGGGGTAAAGTGTTAAAGGTTAAAATTATGTTCAAAGTTACAAGCAAATTAGTCCAGGGGATAGGGGGGGTTGGGGCAGTAAAAAGCGGCTAATTAAGCGGCAATTAGGGAGGGGGGGAGGGAGAGAGGAGGTTCGGGAAAAATGCCGGTAGCTAGGTGGCCGTT